TGCACTAAAACTTGGTTTGAAAAAAAAACCTACACCCCCCCCCCCCTCAGCTCATTGAAATAAGTATCAGATAACAACGCTCTTCTGCAGGAATTCTATTTTAACTAGATGAGATTTTTTGTTCAAATACTTATAAATTTAAAGCACAGACATAGCTAGTATTTTACATTTATTTATTTTGTTATGTTTGTCACTTGTTTTTATATAAAAATACCTTTTTTCTCAAAATTTTTAATTATAGTGGCATTAATTTTTTAAATGTTTAACTTTAACTAACTTTTCATTTATATTATTTTTGTAGCCAGAGTTAAATTATTTTTTTTTCTGATAAGATTTATTTTTATATGAATTTTTTTTTCAAAAGATTTTTTTTCTGAGCGTGCAGAACAAGCTTGATCAAATTTTGCCAATAATTCACTAACATTTTTCTAAAAAATCTTTTATAAATGAATCTTATCATCATTTCAGGTACAAAAACATTTTCAAGGTGAAATCAAAATTTTTTTTAAAAATAAAAAAATTTGATATTCTTTAAAAAAATCTTCAATTTTGTGATCTTCAAGAGTTTTTACTAAAATTTGGGATAAATTTTTTTTTTATTTCAAACTCTGGTTTGTAGTGAGAGACAGATGAAGGGAAAGGGGGATATAGTTGTAGGATTTTGATTGGCTAAACATGATAACGAGAACGGGCAATCCGAAATTACGCCTATGGCTTATAAGTATTTATATCCCGCAACAGCCCTAACAATCATGAAACAGGATAATGTACATTAACGATGACTTATATTATATAAATATACTATTGAAGTATTCGTATAAGAGCCTAATATTACGAGGTTAATTGTCAGGAATAATGCAAATATAGTATAAATATTTAATTTTTAAAAAAATGACTATATCAAATTTTTTTTTCCTTCTCCTAAACTTTTTATCTTTTTGTATTGGGAAGGATTGGATTTGCAGTAAAACATAGAAATGACAAAAGAAGTTAAAAACTAACTAGGAGAAACATGGAGGAAGAAAATGTAGAAAAATAAATCGAAAAAAAATCGCATCAAAACAAAAAGCGAAAAAAATGAAAGAAAAGTGGCGTAAAAACATGGATGGTCTAGAATTTTGGCCTAAAGGCAATTTTCCTTACGCCAGTAAACCGCCATTGAGATGATCAGCGTTGCCAGACACCGTCAATTTTTATGGCAGCGGCGCGCGTATAGAATTTTTAGAATTATATCACATTTAATCTTTACCATATAAATGAAATTTGAAATATTTTACCATGGCAACTAGAAACGTGACGCAAAAGCATACCGGGATATCGATAGTATAGAAAAGGAATTTCACATAAAAAACAAAATAATACAAATCATTAGCGATCTAGTGCAAATGTCATATTTTACTCAGTCAACTTAGTATACCAGAAGAGTATGCGCTAACATTTTGTAAAAAAGCAACCAGAACTTCCTAGGTTTGCTAATTTAGCTAGGAAGGTAATTTGTATACCTGCAATTAGTGAGTGCACCTAGAAAAAAAATTTCTCCATCTCTGGATTAATACTTAATGCAAACTTCTATAGGTCCCAGGAATCTTGATAAAATATAATTTTTTTATGACAATTATAATTTGATTAAATCTGATTTCTTATTTATTATATTTCTTACCTTATATTTTGTTTGCATTCCAAATTTGTATTATAATTAGTTTTATAAAAATCAATAGAATATTACTATTTACTAATATATGTTGTTTGTGTGACTCTGACTTGAGTAAAAATGGAATCCCTACAGGAAATAAGTTAAAAACGAAACCAAACTGGAACTAAGAGCCCCCGAGAAAAATGGACGCGCCGTTAAAGGCCGATGTAAAAATATAAAAACAGCCGCTATCAATTGAGGCATCAGCGCAGAGATCTAAGAATATCTTTAATATTTTTATTAATAGAATTTCCTGATATGAAAATTTAGAATTCCATATTATTTTTTAAATATATTTTTCAATCTAGTTACATGTTAAGTAATATTAATTTTTATACTTATTTAAATATAAAATTAATTAATTAACTAAATAAATGAATGTATGCCTATGGCTAGGATATAAATAGAACGTTTGACGGATAAACTGTTCCATAATTATTTGAAAAATATTTGATGATTAATAATGAGAATTAACAACATTGAAACGTGCAGTAGATCGATTTGCCAACACTCGATTAGTAGGCGTTTACATGTTATTTAAATATTTAAATTAAGCAAATGTATAAAAATGAGTGAAAATCAACGTTGAAATACCCTGTCTAATCACTCAAATATGATAGTTCAAACACAACCTAAGAAAAAAAGTAAAGAATCAAAGTAACAGGTGATTCAACTTTAATTGCCTCAATAAAATTACTAAATTCCTATTTATCACAACATCATATTTAAGGCTATTAAACAACCCCAAGTAGCCAGTAAGTTTCTTCTAGTTTTTATATAAATACGCGGTTCAGTTTAAGGAATACCCGCAAATAAATTTATACTAACACCTAATCTAACTATAATTCCATTTACCCCCGACCCCCCTCAAAAATTTATGAAAACTGTTGATACTCCACCGCTCATGTAGACGCTGATGCTAGTCGTAGACCAACGTTTAGTAATTATTTTATTTGCCTTAAATTTATAATTTTACGATATTCAAAACCTTTAGTGTTTTTTATTTATTGATAAATTTATAAGTAAGTCACATGTCACACGTGACATGTTATGTTAAGCTTTATTATATAAGGCACACTATATTCTTTAAATATTTGCATTGTGACTAAATGGTAGACAAATTAGGTGAGTATATGGGTGAAACAATTCATATAAATTATTATATTTTTCATATTTTTATTTAATTATATATTTTAAGTGAACACAGAAGCTAATACGAAGAGAATACAATTTGTTGAAAGTTGTTTTGGTAATTCAGGACAGGTATTTTGTATTACATATATATATATTATATTTTTATGTAATGAAGCCCTTATTAATACCTGGAAGAGTTCTAGTAGGAGAAGGTGTATTAACTAAAATATGTCGGAAGAAGCCAAAACCTAGACAATTTTTTTTGTTCAATGATATCTTAGTTTATGGGAATATTGTTATAAATAAGAAAAAAGTAATTAATTAATATGATTAGAATATAAACCTAGATCATTAGTATAATAAACAACATATAATTCCTTTAGAGGAAGTCAAAATAAAATCATTACCTGATGAAGGATGTATGTATAATGATTCCTAAATTAAATTATTTATTATTTAAAGCATTAAAAAATGGCTGGCTGATATCTAGCAGAAGTAAATCATTTGCAGTTTATGCTGCAACCAGTACAGAGAAATCAGAATGGATTGCACATATTAACAAATGTATTTCAGATTTACTTATTAAAAGTAATATAAAGGCTAATATTATTTATGTACTATTTTATTAAACTTTTTAATAAAAAATAACAGCTGGTAAAGTTGCTTCTTCAGAATATGCTGCTCCTTGGATCCCTGATTCTGAAGCTTCACAATGCATGCACTGCAAAAAATCACAATTTACCTTGATCAATCGACGAGTTTAAATTTACTTAAATTCATTATTATTCATTAAAGTAAGAATTAAAAGATAGATGATGGATTATATATCTAGGCTTTAGAAGTGCAAGAAAGTTACTTGAGATGAGAGGGATTGCCTTTTAATAGTTGTAGATTGGGGTCAATTAGCTCAGCCAAGGCCAGACAAAAGCAAATTTTTGTTTTTCCTTCATAAAAAATTAACAGGTGGGTTCAAACCAGGCTGTGTCAACTCCTAATATATATTGTTTTGTGACAATAATTATTTTATGCTACTTGTGTTAATTTTCTTCAATGATTAAAAGAAAAATGAGACAAAATTTTTGTTAACATCTATATTTTTTTTACTAAGATTATTTATAGTATACATACATCTAGGTTTATATAAAAATGGTTTAAAGATGGTACACCAAATTTTTTCCAAAGTAATTGTCAGATTTTTCATAATATTTCTTTTATATATTTGGGCCTAATGCCTTACTCAAAATTTTCATTTACCCCAAGGTTATCCAAATTTTTATTAAGCAAAATCACTAATTGTTGGCCTAATTTCATAATTTTTTTAAATTAAATTTACCAAATAACTAGTTATCCCAACTTACAGGGTTCTGATTTTGGTTCTACTAGGTAGAATTATAGGGTCCACTAAAAAAAAAATTAATGTATTATTAACAAATTTAGGGATTACATGGTATTCAAGGAATACAGTAAAAGAGGTACAAATAAATTGGCGCAAGAGCTGTGTTTCATCTTTTTTTCTCAACATTATATAATCATCTAAGAACATCTCATGTTCTAAGTTTTTTTTATATTATTTTCTGACAAAGATAATCATTTTATAATTATAAATATTATTAATTTGAAATCATCAATATCAGATATTCACCATATTTAAAGAGTTCCCTCTTTTAAAACCTTTTTTAAAAAATAAATCTATCCCAACCAGTTATCGCATTAAGAGTCAATTTAGTTTAGTGGAGGATGTTTTAGGGAAAAATACATCCTTTACTAACTGAAAACTCTTGATAGACATGTTTTCATTATTAAAAATTGTATATTTTTGATATTTTATTATGAAAATAAATTATTCTATATATAATTTATATTTCATTTGATAAGGATTTTTTTTACAAATATTGAAACTTTATAATTAGGAATGAATATTTTATCATCAGATTTTAAGAAAACATTTTCAGGCATGATGCTTATCATTTAAAAATTAGTCACAATAGTGAACCATTTTTAAAAATGGAGCCATGTAACAATACTAGTTGAATGTGGACTCGTAAGATATTTTAAAAAAAAATTTTCTTGTTGCAGATAATATATAACAAAAAATGAAATAAAATTTGAATATAAAATTATGTCTTAAGATAAAAGATATATAATTTTATGTCTTATTTGGATATGGAATCCATGAGAAATTCTGAATCTCTCAATTTTAAGTCATTTACTTGGAAAATTTTTAAAATCTTATTTTTACAAAAAATGCACGGTACCCTCTACCTGTCTTATAAATTTTAGGCAATTTTCTTCGTCAAATTTTTTATTTTTAACTTCATGCTTAAATTGCCTGAAATTCACAGTGCTGGTACTCTATAAATTCTAAAATACTTTTCTGGTTAAGTCAGATTTTCAAAAGCTCCCTCAGTAAATGATACAATTGGAATTCCCCTTCGATTCCATGTCCTAATATGACATAAAATGTGAATATATGTTTTTTAAAAAAATATCTGCCATGGCAGTAGATAATTAGTAACTTTAAATTATATTTGAAGCATCATTGCAGGAATTGTGGCCTGGTTGTATGTAATATGTGTGCCAACAAGAAATTTTTGCTCCCCCACCAATCTTCTCACCCTTTAAGAGTTTGCTTGACTTGTTATGACAGGCTATCCAAGACTATTGATCGAGAATTAGACCCTACTGGAGCCAATAAATCATTTACTACGTCTCTCAATCAAAGCAAAAATGATGCAAACAATTCAAACAGTGGTACGTTTTACTATCATTACATTACAATTATAATGAATAAGAATAAGTGAAATTAATAATAATGGGGAGAATTGTTAATTTTTAAAAAAAATTATATTTAATTAGATTGTTAATATCCTTAGGAGTAGAACTAAGGGTTCAGGGTACAGAAAAGACTTCTCTATCTTGAATTAGTTTTATATTATGTTTATATTTATATTAAATATTGATGCTTATGACACCCATACCTATATATATATATTTTTTTTAACCTAACCAATTTCATTTAAGATTCGTCCTCTTCTGACAACGACGAAGATCTACCTTCCTTGCCATCAGAAAATCCGTCTACCCAAAGAGACAGTTTCTTCACAACATCGACCCCTCTTGACAACAATGTAGACCCGGAAATTAAGAACCCCATCTTGGGTAACCATCATAATGCCCTACAGGGAGATGAGGAAAGAAATAATTATGTTATAAGACGGTCACCTCCTCCCATCCCACCTCCTCCTATATCTTCTATCGAAAAATCTCTTGCTGTCACTGACGCCAATGCGGAATCTATAAACGGGAAATTTCATCAGCACTTGGTTAACGATCTTAAGAAGTTTGAAGGAAAGCACCCAACAGGAAAAATCGGAGAGGAAGATAAGGTATGATTCTACCATTGAAAATATCCTATTTATTTGTATTTCTGTAAACCAATTGGCTTAGTGAGCTAGAGATCAACTGTTTTCTCTTACAATTATTAAATATTTAAATTTATTTTTAAATGTACAATTAAAGCCTTTGTACTCAGTTTTTATTATATTCTTCACAATTTTTTTTGTTTTGTTTATAAATAAGAAGTTGATTGATTTGGGCCCAGATTCGGAGATATATACTGAAAAGGAAGACACCAAGTTGAGTAAAGACTTGCATAACATAGTACTTAATTGAAAATCTACTTGATAAATATACAATTCACCTATATCTTTTAGCTATATTAATTTTTAAATTCAACTATAAATATATCGTTAAATTTTTAAACAATTTATAAAAATGTATTACCTATTATTAACTTCCATGTCCTTGTTAATATATTTTTTTCTTTTTTTGGGTTGCTTTTAAATATTAAAATATAAATTTATATAATTAATTTTTTATATTTATAAACACTAACATTTTAATTAAAATATTTTATTTAAATTATTGCAAAATAAAAATATATTATTGCTCCACAATTAGTTATAGTATAAACTACACAATTTAATATTATAATAGTAAAGCACAAATTTTTTATCAAATTGAAATTTTTTTTGAAGATTAATTATTGCGAATAAATTTTTATTGTAGTTCATGTACGATATCTTTTCATTTGAATTTTGTATGAATGATAATGTTTATTATATGATGATACCCAATGAAATAAATGTAATGGCTTATTATTAATAATAATTAAAAAAAAATTCCAAATCGTTATAATTATATTCGACTTAAATACAAAAAATAAATTATATTTTAATATCATTTATTATTCATTTATATTAAAAAAAATTTTAGCAACTTTTTAAAATTTCATGTTTAATAACAAAATCAATAAAGAAAATAAAAATAATGAGTTATCCTTAATTAAAATAAATTTAGGTTAATAAATTTCTAAATTATCATATAATAAATGTATTGACTCAATGAGAATGTGCTAAAAGGTTAAATATTTGTCAAGAAACTCTTCACAATATCCAAATATTCAAATGACGGTTCTAAGCATCATTATTTGTAAGATTCATGCTTCTCATATCTGCTGCTATCAATTTGTCTACGTCATCTTGGGCCTTTCTCTAGATCTTGATCCTCCTACTTCCATCAAGGTGCATCTGCATATAAAATATATTATAACAAGTAAACACTTAAATCTTCAATTTTATTTTTATATAAATTTGGGGAAAATTGTTTAAAATTCACAGGGTAGGTACTTTAAATTTGTTGAAATAGATTACCGATCAAATCAAACTTTCCCAATTTAAAAATTGCGCTTAATATATTATATAAAATTAAAAAATTCGGAAACCCCATCTATTCAATATGCCAATCAATGACATAGTAAATGTCATTGATCCCAATGACACCAATATAAAAAATGGTAATTTTCAATTAATAATTTTTCCTGAAAAGATATTTGAATTGAATATCATATTATAATGCTTTTATAAATATTTAATACAAACTTTATTTTTTTATGATTCATATGTCGATATCTTTATGCATTATATGTGTCGATTTTATTTTTAAGTATAGTGTATACTATAAATTCTATATTTTTTTTATTAGTTCTCTCTAGTTCTAATAAATTCAACAAAACTACATAAAACATTTACGCATCAAAATAATAAATTAAAAAATTATATTGTAATTAAAAAGAAGATTGAAAAAAATTAAAATTTTATAATTGTATTCAAGTATTTATATTTTCATTTTATGAATTGAATTATAATAAAAAGCAAACGTGATATATGTAAACCAATATTATTATAACGGCTCAATTTATCCAATATTAAATTAAGATTTTATCCAAATAATATTACTCAAACCTCCAAATTTTGTCAATAATAGATTTCCAATTTTTGTCATCTAATGAGTAAGATCTCGAAGTTGCTTAAATACTGGATTAGCCTTTTTATTTAATGCTGTCTAACAACACTAGTGCATGCCTTTATAAATATAAATTTAAATAAAATTCAAAAAAGATTTAAATATTAATAAAAATGAATTACAATAATTATATTAATTATAAAATATAATATAAATCTAATTAAAATTAATTAGAATTGTAATATAAATATAAATTATTAATAAATATTAAATTACAACTATAAATTAACATTAGAATATTATATGACTTTTAATATAATAATTTGTATTTGATTTTGTTATACTGTCTTACTTTCAGTATTCAAATTAATTTAATTAAAAATACTCTATATATATTTTATGTTAAAAGGGAAAAAGTATCAATTATAATATTATTTTACTTATAAATTTGTCAAAATAAAAAAAGATTATAGAAATAATAAAATTCAATATGATTCAATGTTAAATAGACGATATTATAATTGTACCGGCCACCCTTATCAACCATCCAAATATATCATCTCTCACACAATGACATAATGTTATTGCTCTCACATGCATTAAACCATCTGCTTTTAATTAGACCAATCAGAAAATTGAACAAATTTTACTGACATCATTCGCACATGTATTCGTTGAAACCTAAAGAAATCATTGTTATTGAAACTATTGAAAGGCTATCAACTATTATATCTAATTTAGTGAAAAAATTATGCGATAAAGATATTTATATAATTAAAACGCTTTCTAGTATTAATCAATATCAATATTATGGCAATAAACCTTCTTTGATAATAGCTTCTAACATAAAACACAATATTTATAATCAGTATTCAAATAATTTATTTAGCTATAATAATAATAATAATAATCTTATACTTAAGAAATTAGTGTATAATGATCAAGAATGTGTTATGCCTGTTAATGATGTGAGTTTAAAATGTACTGATAATTCTGAAACCATATCAATCTTCGATAGTTATATACATGAAAGCAGTATAAATGGAATTAAACTAATTCATAGTAATGTAAAATTTCAATATTTTTTACAAAGTTGTTATATATTACAATTAATAAACTAATTTATTAATATCAGATTGGGTATAATAATTATTATAATAAAAATCTTTTATATAGATCTACTTATTTCTTACAAATGATGAAACAAATTCACAATTCATTTCAAATATTAATTTAAACACTAAAAGAAAAATTGTGGAAAATGAAATCAACTTATGTCATGATTTAACAAATACAATTAAATTTGATTATCCTTCCTACAACTTGTTCAGGCACAAGCTTTTGGTACATATTTTAACAAGATTAAATATTGAAGTATTGAATGATGGGCCAAAATTTACTCTTCCAATAAAGTTACCATTTCACGGTCTTATAAGATTCAAGGTTTTTAATATATCATATTGTTAGAAATATAAGCAAGATATGTTAATAAAATATAATTAGTGTATAGATATATGAAGATCTGCCATGCCTGTATATTTGGGTTAGAGAAAAGATAAGAAAAAAATATTATACGACCTAATTTGTTATATAATATATTTTATCTTGCTTATAATATTAATGATTGACCTGCTACTATGATTATTCTTTCATATATACAATTTCTTCCTACATTTTATGTTTATTATTTTAAGAAATCATGGAACCAAAATGTCATCATTATAAGTTATTTCCATAGGATATATTTCTGGATTTTAAAAAGTCAAGAAGTCTGCAGGGCAGATAATTTAGCCAGTAGACCTCTAATAGATATTGTGATTAAATCATTTAATCATTGAAAAAATTTAATTAAAAAATATATTGTATTGCTCTTAATTATTATTTCCCTTTGAAGCAATTTATAAAATATTAGTACTGTAAAGTAATGTCAATGAAAGTAATGTAATTATTAACAATATTGTGTAGTGTGCTAAATTTTTTCAGTAATGATTGGTAGTGATTTTCATTTTATATATAAAAAGGCTAATTAATAATGCCACTATTTTTCTGAGTAGCTACAGCTAGAGGTCTGCAAAGTGATTTTTTCACAACTCGATTCCCAATTATAAAAATATTTTTGCCCAAGCCCAAGCCCAAATTCAAATTTTTTTTCAACTCAACATGATCAGACTAAGTTTTTTTAAAATTTTTATGTGAATATAATAACCAAATAATTTGGTTAACGGATGTTAAGTAAAATAATAATTGAAAATGACCTGTTATTTTAATTGACATTATGAATTTAAAATTATATATTTATTGGCTGAACTTCGGGTTGGACATCTCTTACAACCCGACTCAAATTCATAAATAAAGTCATTTATGTCTGAACCCACCCCTAGCTTGGGTCAGGTCAGACTACAGATATCCCATGCATACCTAGCTACAGTTAAACATTAGCCACTTATTTAGCTACTTTAAAATTTTTTTAATATTTTAAAATGATGAATAATAACTAATTTTATTTTTACATAAACAAAATAGAATATATACACTAAATAATTAAAAATACATACTTTAAAAAACAAATAAGCATATATTAAAAATTATTTTAAAAAAATATATATGTATAAAAAAGAACTGAGAGAAGATTGTTGTTTCCTCTTGTTTTCTCGTTTATTATATTTCGCCATTTTGGAATTATATTACTTTTAGTTATATCATCGATACAAAATTTTTTTAAATGAGAAGATCCATTGCTATAAAGCAAGCGCCTCCGCTAGCGAATCTGCTCACACCCGAAAACTCTGGAGCCGACTCCGTTCAACAACCAACACCAAATCCGGAGAACCTAGATGGATTTGTGGAAACCAACAGGAACCTCCATACTTATAGTTAGCCTAGACACGATGGCCAACGCGATAGCTACATTAACCAATGAAATGAGAGCCCTCACAACGTTCGCTCATAGAAAGTCACGAAGCTGAAGATCAAGATCTTTAGCTAGATTAATTATGATTGATATAACTTTACCATCATCTAACGATAGTGAAGAGTAAAAGCTCAGTCTCACGTATGAGAACATCTGTGACTCCAGAAGCTCCAGCCAAACCAGAGCGTAACCCCAAACAAAAGGTGACTAAACTTATGAGATTATGGAAAGGCCTTAAATCGGACCTCAAAGAACATAAATGCAAGTCTAACCATAGAGATCGCCATGAGATCAAGCATATCGCCCTCATCGTCAAATGCATACATCCTCTAGCGGATATGAGAATCTGTGATGTAATACACCAAGTATGACTCATTACCATGGCTATCCACTCTAATTGGGCAACTGCTCGAGCCAATGATATGTCTTTCTAGAAAAAGTACATGGATGGAGAATATTAAAATCGTTGCCGATAGACCTTTTCGAGAGAAGGGACGACCTAGTAGAGCAACCTCCACCTAGAAATATAATTGTATAGACATGGTAATGATCCGTACTCGGTCTATTAACGCATCGCAGATTCATGTATTTGACGATGCAGGCATGCTTGATCTCATGGCTATCTCTATCATTAGCCTTGCATTTAGATTCTTTAAGGTCCGATTTAAGGCCTTTCCATACTCTCATAACTTTAGCTATTTTTTGATAGGGGGTATGATAGGGTTTGGCTGGAGCTTCCTGAGCCACAGATGTTCTCATACGTGAGACTGAGCTTTGGACCTCATCCTCTTCACTATCGCTCGATGATGGTAAAGTTATCTCGATCATAGTTTATCTGGCTAAAGACCTTGATCTTCGACCTCGTGGCTTTCTATGAACGAACGTTGTGAGGGCTCTCATTTCATTGGTTAATGTAGCTATCGCGTTGGCCATCGTGTCTTGACTAACCGAAAGTGTGGAGGTTCCTGGTTGATTTCCACAAAGAGCAGATTCGCTAGCGGATCGATAGGCGCTTGATTTCTAGTAGTGGATCTTCCCATTTTGGATTATAATTCCAAAATGGCGAAATATAATAAACGAGAAAACAAAAGGAAACAACAATAGCCAAAAATATTATGCAAGCCAGGAGATTGATTTTTCTCATAGATGGCAGATGTACATCTATTAGATAAATTTGCGAAGCTTATGTAAATATTATTTAGGCTAAAATCCTAAATTTAATATCATCTAAAGATGCCGTTTAACAAACACTAAATGTTGTTACTATACGCGCAGGAATACAATGTTAAAAAAATCAAGTTTTTTTTAGAAATAAATAATTTAAATGTTAAAAAATTTGCGTATATATGTATAATAAATTATTTAATTTTCTAGAATCATCAAGACAATATCAAATTTTTTGAAAATACATCCCAGGATTCAAACTCAACACACTCCGCCATTGAAATAATTAATAGTGCCAATGGCCCCGAAACACGATTACATGCGGGAAATGACTTTATCTATCAGAAAGGTATGCTGCTTTGAGTATAGTATTCTTTGGCTAAGGATATTTATATGAATGCGAGCTCATAATGTTATAAAAAATAAAACGAAGCTACAAAAAAAATAACACTTCTCAACAAGTTGCTTATTTTTCTAGTGCGTTCACTAAACACAATTATTATTTTTTATTTTTTTTATCTTCTGCTTACTAATTTTTTTATTGATTGATTTCAAATAAGTTTTACATTTTTAAAGTAATAAGGTGTACAAGACGCAGATATGCCACCGATATTTATTTTTATCTATATTGGCCAATATTCACGGTGTCGGTCGGTATTTTTAATTTTAACCGATACAAATAAATAATTAACCGTTACTAATTAAATTTTTAAAATATTGGCTTAGCCAATCAATTTTTAAGAAAAATAAATTGATCTATAAATTTTTCTAGACAAAATAAGGAAGGAAGAAAGGGTGAACACGTTTAAAAAAAGTGAAATACTAGGCTTCCATGCCTTTATATTATTACCTTAAAATTAATTAAGGGAAAGCTTTGTTTATTCCTTTTTTCCCCATTTTTTGCTGTATTTTTTTTGAACCCCCATTCCCCCCCCCCTTCTCCCCAATAAAAAAAACAAATATGCCACGTCCTCAACATATGGCAGTATGTTAAACAAGGACAAAATTTTATTAAAATGCAATAAGAGACCGATTGAACAAATGGATACTTAGTCTCAATACTACCCTGACTTTATTATCTACTACATACAATGTACTACGTAACACAGAACTAGGTTAGATTCATAAAAAATTAGGCTAAATTCAAAGCTTATAGTGATCTTTACCTAATGTCTCTAGCCACTGGACCAGGCGCGTTATTCAAAAACAATGAATATATTTTATGCATAAATATAATTTGCTTCGTTATCTAATGTTACTCTAATGTTTCTTTTATAAAAAAAAACAACAAACACATCAAAAAATCAGTTCGACGCTATACAACATTATCCTACTAGCGATACCTAAAACGAATTATTTGTTATTCGATTTGATTCGATTCATATTTTACGAATATGAATAACACAATTATTCGATTCGAAAATTCGAATAAGGAAAATATATTATTCGTCGAATAATTTTTTATCTATTATTCGATCGAATTATTCGAGATATATTATTAGTAGGATAATAAAATTACCTAGGAATAATGAAGAAACATTTTATATTTCTAAATGTTGTTAACGGCGGTTTTTATTCAAATAATTCATAATACAAAATTAACTTTCGAAAATTGTTTTATGATGGACGAAGAAAGTATTTATTTATTTATATGTAATTTATAACACATATACAATTATAAATAACTAGTAGCTATCCCGCCAAGAATGAGTGGCGAACCAGATATGTCTCCTTTGTTTGATGATGGAGAAATCATAAATTTGACTTTTTGTAAAAACTTTGTGTTTAAAAAATTTGTTGTTGGTATATTTATATTTTTCTTCTACATGATATGAATATTATATATAAATATACTCTATATTTGTATGCTTTTATATTATCTTACTAATAAAATTTGTTTGTCTATTATCCATAGTTAAATTTTACAAAATAAATTTAATATGCTATCTTTTTTAATTTACGGTTAAATAAAATTTTCGAATTGAATCGAATATTCGACAAATCGAATCGAATAATCATTTTATTATTCGTACGAATACGAATAATGAATTATTTGATTTAAACGAATACGAATAATTCCATTATTCGATGCGTATTTTTGTAGGTCTACTACTAGCAATGGTCAGGAATCTTTGAATAATTTATATTTTATGAACGAATGGCTTTGAAAATTTATTTTTGGACTCTCCAGGCAAATAAGCTTTTTAAGCAAAGATTTTTCCTCTCTTTCCAAAATTAAGTAGAATACATTGAAGCAACGATTTGGAAGAATTCGTTGGTTGATAATGTGAGTAGTTTTTTTTGAATTTTCATGTTCTCGGCCATTCCAAACGGATCACCATTATTATTAATGGGTGGGGGTAAAAGGGTGTCATTATAACAAAAATCTTAATACAAGTTTTTGCCATGTACGGTGGAATTAGAGTATAACTATCAGATCTGGAGCTTGCAATATTGATCAATTTAATGGAATCAATTAGGATGGTGATTGAATGTTTAGTTTTTTTTTATGCAAAAGATTTGTACTTTATTATGACTATAAAATCCTGAAGGTTCTTATTGAACGCTTTTATGTATTTTTTTAATTTTGGTGCAAATAAAGTTCAAAGTGGTCGTTTTTATTTCTTTTGGTTTAATGTTTTTATTATTGTAGTGTTCTATCTGTTTAATCAACTAGAAACAAAACTATTTATTTTTTTGTAACAAAATTTCAAAAAATCGTCTGTTTTTTTTATAGAAAAAAGTATTATAAAAATGATTCAAGCTGAAATAGTGTAAGATAGGAAATGGAAGCACTTGAGATTTTTGCCAATTGTAGAACCTAAAATAAGGATAATTAGATTCAAAAAAATGACTAACCATTTTTTACAGATTTTGTCAATGCTTCAGAGACCTACAAATAAAATACAGGTTTAGCTTTGTATTTTAAAATATAATTTTTACGTTTTTCTTCTTTTTTTTTGACTTCCAAATAACAGATGCCCAGTTGAAATACCGGCTTAATTGTTCCCTACAATGCGGCAACGGTATGGAAGTGACGAGACAATTTGATTTCGACACGTATTATGCTTCCCTGAAGACCAAAAATTTGGGGCACATTTTTCTCTGGTTCCCTTTACTGGACTCTACTTTTCACCTTCTCGAAAGGTTAGAAGTACATAAATAACATTATTTTGGCGTTTCTTATATGGTTAAGGTCCTGAACTATCAATTACTATTACATAAAGATCTATTTTCTATATGTATATATAAGCTTTTACCACCCTATGATCTTTTGCGGTGCCTGCAATTATAGTGTATTTACATGCCTTAACATTAGCTAGGTTTTTTTAAGCATGACTTTTAAATTAAAGATTGGTATAAGGTTCAAACTAGCCCCTGAAATTTTTGAAAAGGTTTATTTGGCCTACTTAAATTTTTTGCAGCCAGGCCCGTAAAAATATTTTTGACCTGGTTGCCTCTAATCTAATATATACCATTCTGGTTCCTATTTGTGCTTTTCGGGTTCAGTCTGAACCAGGTTTGGTTGGGGATTAGGAATCCGGAAAAGTAAGAACATAAAATTTGGTAAAAATAACAGAAATATCGTCATAATTATAAATTAGAATAATAAAATAAAAATTTAAAAAATGATAATAGGTTTTTTAAAATTATTTTTAACGAATTATCATGATATCTTCCAAAAATCTATATGTTCATATTAAAATATAAATTCTTATGAACTAACAATGACAGTGCATTGCAACCCTCTGTAAACTTGTCTTATCCGTCTTCAAATATTTAGGATCTTTAATCGGCTCTCGGGAGATCCTAGAAAAAATTTCTTCTTAAAACAGAGATTGGGCATAGCTATCTAAGCCTCAACGTCAATCTTCTTTTCAAAGAACTTTCTTAGACTCAATATTGAAAATTTAAAAAAAATTCAATTCCTGAACCCCAAATACCTCGTTTATCTTTGTGGAAGCCTTATAAAAATCTAATAAAAAATTATAAATTAGCATGCCATGGGAAATTTTGCAGGGGATATTAAAATTATTGAGAGTTCTAAGGATATTTATTGATCAAAATATTAGGTGCTTTCTATTCCCTAGAAAAATTATACTGACCATGGCTGTATCACTATCTAGAACACCCTTATCTTACGAAAATAGAGAATTGCTTAGTTAACTTAAAAAGGTATTACCACTGAGTACCACTAATAAGGATTGTATATTTCCCATACTAGCTGCGTCATTTAGTTTTTTTTAATACTCCACGAGGCAAATGAGATATATAATGTATTTTTTTTAAATATATATATATATGTTTGCAGCAATATGTTATTTTTTTTCCAACTTTAAATCATTTTTTGGGCGCGTTTTTTTGAATTTAAAAATTTGATTTTATTTATTGAGACTAAACAACATATGACATGTGTCTTTTACTTTGAGTAATTATAAAAATTAATTTCTATATTTAAAAAAAAATTCGGGCCGGGCCGGGTTTGAAAAATTGGGCCCGATGCAGATCACTAGTAAGTATCTCAAACATGACGGAATGTATTTCCGGTAAAATCGGATTTTTAAATTTAAAGAAAAACGCGCCCAAAAAATAATTTTTAAAGTTGAAAAAAAAAATAACACATTCCCCTCTAACACATATAAATATGAAATCGAGGTCTCGAGCTAACATGGCTAAACTTTATTTGGAAAGAGTGCGAGTTTTACAATGAGGGATATAAATATAATTGAAGAAGTCATTGAACAATTTTTGTGCTTTTTTACATGCGAGATAGCCTTCATTAAGAATTCCGGAATCACGGTGCACTTAAATGCCACCCCAAACATGAGGGTGTCGCTAAAATTTCGAAAAAACATCCGATACCATGCAAGGTCCCCCACAATTAAGTTGACGCGCTGTAGTGTCGTTAAACGGCTCGAATTTGCGGATTTTTAAATTACGATTTTCGCCCAAAATTAATATATGTCTGAACCTTTTCTGCCATCTGCGAACAAATTCTCTAGGATTTGCATAATACTTTTTTTTATGACTAAAATATTGGGTCCGCCATTTTTTAATTAAAAAAATCGAGCCGTTTAGCAACACGTGACCAAAGTAACAAATATCTCCGAATAAAATAGACACATTTTCTAACTCGTATGATAGCTTCTTTTATGTCCAGGATTTAAATATAGGAAATAGGTCAAAACAAAGGTGATATATTTTCATCTTATTTTTAATGAATGATAAATTTACTAGTTATGTAGTAAACTACTAGGACACATTTTATCCCCACCCCTCCCCATAACAACATGTTCGTCAAATGAACCTCGGGTTTTCTGCCATGAAATTTTGTTGTAAACATATTAGAAAATTTTTTTTATTTACGTTTCTATAAATACGCAACAGACGATAATATAAATTTTAATTTGTCGGAGCCATTGTTGAAACGGGGTATGCAAATATTTTTCGATTCATTCGAAAGCAAGATTGCTAAATTTTGTTTTGTAAAGTATTTTGTTTTTTTAAAAAATCCAGACACGTATTTCCGGTATATCTCTAAATTATTTTATTTATTTATTTTTTATAAAAAAAAGCTTCAAAGAAATAGTACCAGGAGGCATTGATTTCGCCATCTTGTCGTATTGTTGTTCCAATTCTGTCGGTAAGCCATATTATTATTTAAAATTAAACAAATATATTTGAATTTTAAAAACAAAATTAACATATACATAAATCCTAATCCAAAAATGATTGATATGGTGTTGACAATTTATCAAAATAACGAACGAAACTTTAATTACTTGCACATATAATCGAAATCTAATAAGGGAGGGAGGGGGGGGGGGAGTATGTATTTATTTTTGTCCGTGTCAGTAATTTTTGAGTCAAGGCAACACATGGTTCGTTTTCGATCATTGCTATTCTTTACCGCCTCATCATTCTTTTTTTTTTAAATTCTTTCTCAGAGTCCTTTAAAGGTCAAAATGTCAGGCCCTCGGGTTTAAGAAATTAGGGTTTCAGGCCTGACCTGGCTTTACAGTCATTCATAGTAATTTTTCGCGGGCCGAAAAAAAATATCGCTGTCTAAGCCTGACCCGACCCGACCCCATGAACAAATTTTTTGTTCCAGACTGAATCCTCCGACGCGATTAAATTTTTTTTTTGGAATTTGAAATGATAAAATTAAGTAATTATACAACTAAAGAAATATAGCGTGTAATAAGTGTAGGACAGAAATTGAAAGGAAAAATTATAAACTGACATATGATCCTATTGTTCTTACAATTAAATGCCCCCCCCCCCACTTCATCTATTTTTTTTGTCGTTTTAATTGTAAGGATTGATGATATATATATATACTAACATAGTACGTTCATATTTTATCCAACGATTCAAGTTTTTTTCTTCTATCTTATAGTATTTTCCAGAGTTGTTAAAAGATACTTTTTAAATGGATCTAGATACAGATACATCGTCTAAAATAATATCTAGATATAGATATTTTAATCAAAAATCTATCTAGATACAGATACAGATACCACATTTTTATATCTAGATCCTTTAACAACTCTGGTATTTTCAATGATAAACGGAATTAATCAATGTCGTCATGTTAGATTTACCAAAAAATAAGTAATATTCGTGTATGTTGCCTATATATTTATCATATTTATAACTATTGATGCTGTGCGCTCCATGTGAGCCTATTTTTTATAAACGGCTATATCGATATTTTAGCCATTACAAATACCTATCCCTCGAGATTTCGCTAATAGATATCCGAGCATTTCTGGCCATCCATGAGAAGAATCTTCGGGATCGCGTAATGATTTTTTTCTGATAAAATTATAAACTAACTATACAAAGGTAGAACTGGAAGCAAATGGATTAGCCCGGAAGGAAGCCTGAGTTTCACCTTGTCTCACTACCTCACTTCTCCCGTTGACGGGCAATCATTCCCCATAGATTCTACCAAGTTGGCCTGTTGGCTGCAGCACCTAACGGCCATCGCCTTGGTCGAAACTCTTCGTGAACGCACTTTTAAACGTGAAGGGAATGTTTTGGAGGTTTGTTACGCGTGCATTTTATTTCATATCAATAATCGTGTAAGTAAATAAATAAAATTGTTAGAATGTCGCTTTTTCTACTCGATTTAGAGGATTAATTTTTGTTAAATTGAGTAATTACCAACTATAAGACCCTCTGACACGGGGGGGGGGGGGGTGCGATCAATTATTTAGTATCCATTTTATATTTTAGCCATCGGGAGGTCCTCGTCCCGTGATTTATCGGAAGGGGAGGATTTAGAGGGCTATGGAATATCATAACGTTCTTTTACGCTAAAAGCCTAAAATAACAATGATTTGACAGATGTCATAAAGCCCTTGCAATAATTCGGGTCCGATCCAAAAGAAAGGGAGCCCGAAATATTATTGAGGATCAAAATTGGGCAGGGTTGATTGACCTGCCAACTGCAGTCGAATTCGAATTATTTTTAATGAATCTTGTATTTTCAAATATTCATTAATCATTCATATATTTAATATTTCGCTCCTTTGGCAGGGCCATGTTCAGATTCATATTCAATATTGCCATTTTCTTTAAATATTTTTAAATCAATTTATCCCTGTTGTCGAGGTCTTCAATCTATTTTCTGTTTTTCATATGAATAGTAACCCTAAATCGACCAATTTCTTTTCGAGGAATAAGTTGAAATAGGAATTGTTTAGTAAAATGTAATTTCTCTTAATGGGCAAGTCACCAACTCGATTCTACTAAACTTGGGGCTGAAGTCTGATTGTTTATTATGGAGGTTACTGCTCACCGCTTTTCACATATTTGCCATTACTTTATGTTACTTTTACTTCTAAACTTTATGATATCGCTTGAAATATTTTGATCGACACCACCTTGTAAAATACCTAATTCTTGTATTATAACAGGATACTAAGTAACATTCCCCTTTTTTTATATTGGAGATTCAATAAATTTACAGCATTGTGATCACGTGTATTTATATCCTTTTTTTAATTTGAACCGCATTTGATTAGTTCAAATAATCCTCCAGTAAACATGGCTGAATTTAGGCTGTCAAATGACCAACTTTCCAACCCTGAAATTAGATAACATCCCCAAAGTGACCGACCACTTTTCAAAAAAAAACATTTGGAAAAAAAAAATAGTTTTTACGATCTGTTCCTCCCATTAAAAGGTTTTCTTATATAGATTTGAGTTTTTTTTGGCATTTGTGTGATATAAAGAAAATTTGAAACCTAAAAATAAAATAAAAATATAATTTAAATACCAAAATATAATTCTAAATTATTAAATACTAATAATTAAATATAAAATTAATATAAGAAAGTTAAAATTAAAAGATTAAAATGTTCGCAAAATAATAGTACCATAACAAGTAAAAATATCCTCAATTATATATCCTTTTTTATGATATTCATTTACATCGTCTGAACTCAAATAATATAATAATTTGTTTCGTTTTTCTGTTTTAAAAGTAGATTTGAATATTACTTCGTTTTTCTTGATTTTGTTTAAAAGTCGATTTGAATATTAAAACACATATTACAACAATTTTTATTAAAGGTTTAAGTTTAACGTAAGATTCGAAATTAATGGATTTCTGCTTCACGATGATGTTTTAGCCATGAAAATTAAAGAGATGTTTTTTTTAAGTATTCATAAGTTGCCAATAACGGTTCTTAATCGGAAATAGTTAAGTTTTCTAATTTTTTTTCACTTTATATTTTTTTTTGAAAAAAAAGTACAACAAAAACGTTGATTTCCACATCAAATGGCCTAACGATGTCTATTACGCTGGGAAATACAAAATAGCCGGAATTTTGATCAGGGTCAACCATATAGATGATCGGATAATCGATTATACTCTGTGTAAAGAAGAAATATATTTAGATTATAAATATTTATATCCTTTTTTGAGTCATTTGCGGGGCCTCCCAGCATCCAAAGGCACTGGAGGACCCCGTGGTCTTGACGGGCCTATCTTTCATTTAGAATTAATTCACTCCATTATTACAATATCAATTAACGAACATTATATAAATTGCGGTTTGATGAAGTAAATACATGTAAAATAAACGCGGCTGACAGAGTATTATGTATAAAATGAATATCGTGACGAAGTAATAAGGAATCATGCTAACCGATAAGGTTCGGAAATTTTTAGGAGGACAAACGTATTCGAGCGGGTAAAAAAAATATTTATTAGGAAGAAGAAAATTATTTTAACCTATATTCCCCTATATATAGGCGCAGACTTTCGTTTTTTTGCGCGATACTTAAATTTGAAATAAAACCAGTTGCGAGGGGGCATGATTTGTTTTTTATTTAAAAATGGAGGACAAAGATATTAGATGATTATACTTTAAAACATCATTCAAATAATGCGAAGTTTTATCATCTAGTTCTATTTATGAAACAAGAGGCGGCCTAAACCAGTTTTTATTTTAAAATGGAGGACAAAGATATTAGATGATTATATTTTAACATCATCAAATAAATGCGAAATCGTCTATTTATAGAAACAAGAGGCGGCCTAAACCAGTTTTTATTTTAAAATGGAGGACAGATGATTATACTTTAACATCATTCAAATTATGTAAAGTTATCATCCAGTTCTATTTATTAGAAGCTTGAGGCGGCCTAAACCATTGCTTAGATTATTTTTTTTAAAAATGTTTTTTTGGCCCAGCCCACAAATTTTTTCGTGTCTGCACTGTTTACCTGTTTTTTTTAAAAGAGGTCCTTTTTCGAGCGTGTTTTAATTTTTTTTAATGAATGAATGAAAAAAATGTATATAAATTTGACTAAATTAAATGTAAGCTTTAAGAAAATTTTATGAAATTCCTGCCCGGGCCCATAAAATATATCCTTTGGTTGTTCAAAACCTGTCTCAAAATTTAATCTCTCAATGATTTTTTTTTATCTTAAATAGCATTTCAAAACTGTAAATATCGCATTAAATTTATATAACTTCATTTTAAAAAAAATTTGCATTGTGTAAGTTAAACGTCAATGTATTTTTTTCCTGCAATGTCTTATATTTTCAAATTTAAATAATTTTATGAGCGCGTTTTTTTTTAAAAATTAAAAAATCTGATTTTACCGGAAACGAATTCCACGTGTTTGGAATACCTATCCTATAAATTTCAGACAATTTTTGTCATGAACGTTAGAATTTAAATAAAAATTTATATATGTAAGATTTTCTATAAATTTATAAATGACTCCCAAATGTTAACAGCAAAATTGTCTTGTAATTCATAAGATAGGTATATTCCAAACATGATGTAATGTATTTCTCGGTTAAATCAGATTTTTAAATTTAAAATAAACGCGCTCTAAAAATGATTTAAAGTTGAAAAAAATAACACATTGCCAGATAAAACACATCGACGCTAATATATATATAAGAGAACTGCTTATATATTATTTTTTTAAAAAAATATACCCCCTTGAAACAAAATATTTTAAATCGCATTAGCTTAAAAAATATAATTATAATATGTTTTTTAAAAATAACCTGGGTCCGGACAGGCAAATGGTACCTCTGCAAGTCTCTGATATATATATATATATAAATCATTAAAGAATAAACCAACTATTTCCGACACATCTCTAAGCAGGAGGAATTATTTTTATTTTAATATATATATATATTCTTTTTTTTTAAAATCTTTTACAGCTTTCGGTCTCAATTATTACAACACTAACCCGATTCTAGGTTTGTTGGATATATCTAAAATTATGGGCGGTACCATTTTAGTCAGTCCCGAATTATTTTTGGCCTCATTTTTGAATCGTTACGAAAATTATACGGAAACGCTTTTGAGCTCCTCTTCCGTGAGGCTTTGCGGCAATATAGGAGACCCCGTATTTTGCGATTACATCGACGACGTAGTCAAAAAGGAATACTACGGATATTGGCTCACTAAAATGTACGCGCGCTTTTTTTAAAAAAAAAACAATAATAAAACTGTTTTGTTTTTGATTCTCTCCGTCTCCTTGTTTAGATTTTAAAAATTTCCACGACTCAGATATTAAAATATTATTTTGCCCTCTTCCTGGGCTTTTTTATTTTTTAAACCCTCCCTAATTTTGATGTTTTTTGAATTTCGGTCATTTCCCATTAATTTTAAGCTTTTTATTTTTTTTTATAAATGGTTTTTCAAAAGGGTATTCGAAAATATAATAGGTGAATAAATGATTTGATCCATCACTTCTGACATGGTTAAGTTTGGAAAATTTACAGGAATTTTCATTGCGGTAACCTTCCCGTGAGAATTTGTGAGAAATGTTATGTAAATTGTAACCAACAATTTAAATTTTTATACTAGATTTTATTATATTTAAGTAAGAGCAGGTAAATTATAATGCAAATAATAATAAATATACATTAAATGTTTACTAAAATAGAATATCAAAACTTGATTTTCACTCGCGAAATGGCAAATCACTTTAAAATTAAAAAGAAATACATTCATAGTGTAATTAAAGCATACCTAGGTCTAATTAATCTATTTTGTGAAAATGGTACAGTCAAATGAGATGTAAAAAAAGTTACGAGAATATTCTCAAATGAAATTATTCATGATTCTGCATAATCAAAACTGGGATTTAACCTTTAATACTTTAGGTGTAGTAATCTATTTTTGGGAAAAGTCATATTGTCAAATATAATATACATATTATTAGGCTATAGGAAACAAAAACTTTTGAATGTATCTCAAAATCTATATATAATATAGAAGGGTAATAAATTTTATGATTAAAGATATACACTAATTTGGATAGCTGGCACTTTCAAATAGCAATAAACAAGATTTTATAAAATTAATTTTATTAAATACCTATTCAAGTTCAAGATATGATAGTTAATCATCTTTTTGAGTTAAAAATCACAGCTCACAAACCTTTTTAATAGGTTCTGTTCTGGTGTGGCATTTAACGCTTTTTTTAAATATTGTTTTTTATAAATCAGATTTAAAAAAAATTATAGTTTTAAAAGATTAAAGTTTAAAATAAAAATGAGTTTAAAAAAATTATATTATTTTAAGATTTTATAATTATTTTCTGCAACAATTTAAAAAAAAAAAATTTTTTTTTAAAAAAGGCGATATAGATGACGTTAAATGTTTTAAATATTATTATTATATAATTTATTTTTAAATATCATACTAAACCTCACAATTTGCTATTTTAAAGGTAGCGCTAATTATTTAATATTACTTTAAAACAATTGCTAAAGTATACTAATCAAAATCCGATAATTAAAATAATCTCATATCTTACAAAAGTCCATAATTGTGGATAAATAAATCTGTCATATATAGTCGGTGATTTGCATTTTACTATTACGTCGATTATGCTAATTTGCGAAATTAATTTGTGAATCGCAAAATTTATTTTCGATAACTTGGTTCATAATTTAAAATGATTTTTTATCCTACATCTTAAATTATCCAAACTCTGATTAAATTATTCATTTAAATCTTTAAATATATCATTTTATAATTAAGTAATCATTGAAAAATAATAAATTAATATGTTACCAAATTTTAAATATTAGATTAGAATTAATACATATAAATATTAAGGATCAAAAAAAAATTTATAAATATTTTTAAAATATAACATTGATAATATTCCTCTCTTGTTCTTAATTGTTTTTCTCATCGCCGATTCTGTGATTAGGGTTTGGTTCTTTTGTTGACTTCCATCTGAATATCTCTCTCTTGTTCTTAATTGCTTTTCTCATCTCCAATTCTGTGATTAGGGGGTATCAGTCATTGAGAATATGAAGCTGAGGTAATTGGATTTTATTATATTGAGGGCTAATCTTTGGCGTAGGTAGTAACCCTCGTTGGGATCTTCGGTCCTAGTAGAGATCCGTTTCCCCAGCTCTTTAAAGAAGGCAAGGGCGTGAGAGCCGAACGATGTTAGAGTCGTGGCGATTAGTGGTAGGAATGTGTAATTGGCCGTAAGCGATGGCGATTATTTAGCGAGTTTATTTATCTCGGCGTCTACTAGAGCATCTCTATTTATATTGGAAGGGGCAAGGGGATCGATGCATGAGAAATCCCAGGTTAGGAATTCCCTCCTCTTCCAAGGAATCATGGTAGAGCCATCGGGACGCTTACCATCAGAATTGTAGAGTCCAGTAGGTTCGAGGGTTGATGGGATACCGGCAGATTTTAGGGCCCTGGCAATAGTATCATTGCACTTTGAATGTCTAATGAATCTCTCTACATCGCTTGCAGTGTAAAGAGTGACGGCCTTTGGAGTTGACCGGCGTTTGACAAAGGATGCAGTGATAGGGTATTACCATATCGCAATTAAGTCTTAGACCGATGGCGTGACGTAGCTCATCATTGCTTAGGAGCTGGTCAAGGTTTCGCGATGGAAAAGCTTCGAGAAATTCATGCCCGCTGTCTGCGGAAATGGAGAAGAGTAGAGAATGGTCCTCGGGTTGGCTCCTCGATTTAAGGCAGCGAGAGCAGTTTGGGACTGCGAATCAATCAAGACAAGAGCGAATATTGTCCTCTTGGAATCATCGACCTTAACTATGATCCTATGTTCAATCATACACCATTGAACTTCTTAACACATCTCGGATCTCCAGTGGGTAAAGACGAGTCCTTTGTCAAGTTCTTCGCCGACACTCTACTTGAAATATCCCTTATGCGCGGTACACTATCTTTCCTCCCAACCCACCAAGCGTTCTTTCTATTAAAGAACTACCTCCTAATCCCAAAAATTCTATATACACTCCGATCGTCACGTATCTTCCAATACGACATCAACCTCGCGGCACACGAGCTAGAGATTAAACACCTCACTGAGGATATATTCAATCTCAAATTCAAAGACCTATCTTGGCTACAAGCTACCTTGCCAACCAAATCCGGCGGCATTGGCATACGATCGCCTTCCCTACTCTCTGTTAGTGCGTTCATATCCTCTCGCCTGTCCTGCGAGCCCATCATACACGCACTCACAAAACATCCTGACCCTTTACTTCCCCAGGCAATTGATCTATGGAAATCTCTTTCATTAGTCGATCCTCCCTCATCGACACTGAAGAAGGACTGGGATAAACCTTTAGTTGGCAACTCCGTTGCATTCCTTAAATCGAGGAGCCAACCCGAGGACCATTCTCTACTCTTTTCCATTTCCGCAGACAGCGGGTATGAATTTCTCGAAGCTTTTCCATCGCGAAACCTTGACCAGCTCCTAAGCAATGATGAGCTACGTCACGCCATCGGTCTAAGACTTAATTGCGATATGGTAATACCCTATCACTGCATCCTTTGTCAAACGCCGGTCAACTCCAAAGGCAGTCACTCTTTACACTGCAAGCGATGTAGAGGCAGATTCATTAGACATTCAAAATGCAATGATACTATTGCCAGGGCCCTAAAATCTGCCGGTATCCCATCAACCCTCGAACCTACTGGACTCTACAATTCTGATGGTAAGCGTCCCGATGGCTCTACCATGATCCCTTGGAAGAGGGGGGAATTCCTAACCTGGGATTTCTCATGCATTGATCCCCTTGCCCCTTCCAATATAAATAGAGATGCTCTAGTAGACGCCGAGATAAATAAACTCGCTAAATATTCGCCATCGCTTCCGGCCAATTACACATTCCTACCACTAATCGCCACGACTCTAACATCGTTCGATTAAGTAATCTGTATATTTTTGAACTTGCATGTCATATTTAATAAAATTCTTTATTTTATTTTTGTTATAGAGGACAAAATATAACCATACATGGTCAAGAAACTCGAAATGCCATTATAACAGGATTAGATGATTATGGGTATTTAAGAGTAATGATTCATCGAGATAACGAAACTGAAGGATCCGAAATGGTAACGCTACACGATCAAGAATATTCGTTTGACGTTGTCAATCACGTTCTATTCCCGAAATGAAAAATATATATGCATATAAAATTCTAGTTTATGTCATGATTATCCGTCATAAAATATTTAAAATTAATTTATCTATGACCATTTAGAAGAGCATTCTTAGCTAACTTTGATGAAAAATATTGTTGTGATTACTTTTAACCGGCTGTTGTTGAGTAAGTATCATGGCGGCAAAAGGCTGCATAGTATTTCTCGTAACTTTTGGAGAAGGGTTGAACTCCACTCGTAGTCGACCTTGGGTTTGAGAGCGAAGCCTTAGAGCTTTTGCATAATATTCCCGGGGCAGGGCCATACCTCCCTTCAAATTATGTAATTACGTCCGAATTAATCAGATTTTTTTTATCAGCATCGATTTTCAAATATATTTCTTATTTACCATATAGTAATTATTATATTCCATAAACCTATTCTCCATGTAAGTGTCACAAATTCCATTAACAATCTATGTTTTCAAAGTATTTCATAGTTATAATATTCAATTCATTATAATAAGATTTCATATCTTAAACTCGGATATCTCATGATTTGTGATCCAATGCCATTTGTAACTCTTTAAATTGTGATTCATGGTAATTTTTGATTCCGCGCCATTTGTAATTCCCAGGCTACACTCCCGCCCGATAGTCAGGCTAGGGCGTAGCCCTATTTAATTGGTATTCATAAATGAAAATTTAATCTATTGCGCCAATCTATTCAATCAATTTTAAGATGCCGTACTTTTGATATAGTTTTTATTCTCTGTAATGAAGAAAAGGCCTTCTCATTTATGCTTGTGATAATTGGTATCATTGATAATAAGATATACAGTAATTTTAATATTTTTGTAAAATTTATAAAATATTTTTAAAGTATGCATTAAATATAATTTTTTGATTGATAAAATTTTCTTATATCCATCAGTGTTTAAGGTTTAAAAAATGTAAGAAAATTAACTATATTTTCTTGAGATAAAATTACAAGAAATTAATTTTTACTTTTTGCTAACTTTTAGAATAGAATATAATCTATTTGAAATAGAATACTTTGCAATTCACAATTAATAAAACCCTCTTATATTTTTTAAAAATTCTTGCCACCGTTGGGGGGGGGGGCGTACATATCATTCTTTCCTACCCCCAGCTGGCTAACGCCCCCCCCTTCCCCGCTTGTTACCCTCCTGAATACAATATAAGCATTCTAAAGTTAACTTGGATTGATTCCTTTTTCCATATCAAATGTTTGGGCATCAGTCGTTACAAGTTTATTAAATTATTTATTTTTGCATTTAATTTGTTTCTTGAATCATAAAATTTAACATTTCATTCTAATTAACGAATATTTATATATATAATTACGATTAATATTTTTTTTAAGTATTCCAAATTCGTACTTTATTATGAAATAAATAAAACTCTTTATTTAGATTTTGCATTTTAATCAATGAAAGTATTTTTAGTATTACTTGAAATTGATAAAAGTTGGACAAACTTATTTTAGAGAAAGTCCACTTTTTTAAGTAATCTTAAATTGAATATTTGGTATCGCGACAATAGTTCTCCAGCTGATACTTATTAGATCATAATACCAGCAAACTGCCATAATGGGGAACATTTAATCCAAATAAAAATGAATTCTATGCCCCGTTAAATTTAGACTTTCACCCAGATAATTTTTATTATAGTTTACAAAACTAATCTTACTCATCAGGTGTCAGTCACCCTTTAGGGGTGTAAGTATAATATTGAGATGAATTTCTAGCCAAATTCAATAGAATGAAAGATAATATTAAAACATTTACCCTACTCATCAGGCATTTATCTATAATTTATTTTATTCATCCCAAATATTTTACATTCCTTACCTTCATCAATTTTTTTGTCCTCCTCGAAATTTATTTAAAAGATACTATTACTATTGGTTGTCCACCTTCCTCGAATATACTCCCAACAAAATCACACAAAATTATTAGTAATCTTTTATTAAATCGATAATCTTTATTTAAATATAAAGGAAGAGAAAAATAATTTTAAATTCAAGGGTAAAAATTAATTAATTTTTACATTTCAATTTGCTTCCCTTTTAGGGGGAAGCTACTAATCGGAAATACTAATAATTTAAAAAATTTTATAAAAATTATAATTACCATAATCAGGCTTGGAAATCATAATTTTTACTAAAAATAAAATTATATAAAATAAAACTAACTAAAAAATTGCAATTTTATAAATATAATTTAATAATTCCTACACACTATGATTTTACAAATGTTTACACATATGATAATATATCATTGATATTCAACTATGACAATTGCTAGATATATTATAATTATAAATTAGTATAATATAAATTTAATTAAAGAAAATTTGGAATTATTTATCCAAAAGCACTAATGCTTAGCTTTGGTGACTGATCCTCTAACTTCAGCGCATCTTAATTCGTGTTACTTTTTATATCATTAATTTTTGCTGACTTTTATGAAACGCTAACGTTATAATTGGAAGCAAAATAGTCTAAGATTATTCCAAGTAGAGTATGTTCAATATGTGTCTCGCTTGATCACAAAAGTATAAAGTTGAGATGATTGCACTTAATTATGTTTAGAGCTAACCTCTGAGTATGTAATATTCCATGCTGGAATCCACGGTCCTAGCAGAGATAAGGTACCCAAATTCTTTATAATAGGCTACAGAATGAATTCTTATCCCATACTTGGAATCAAGATGCCCTTCTACCAAACGTCAACGTTTCAGCTTTCCTATCCTCAGCTGTAAGATTTTATTATACTCTTGGAGACCCTAATATTGATTAAACTCATATTGCAGCCTTATACACCGGAAGTGGAAACACTCCAACCAGCTATATCCTAATTCTATCTTAATTTACCATTAATACAACATACCATTGAATACTTACACTCGAATGTTATTTAAATGTTATCTCCATTATTTTTTCCATACGTAAATCCAACCCAGAGTCAACAGATAATATGAATGATACAATATCTAGTTATAATCGACGTCTCTTGCGAACGAATAGCTTCGAGTTGTTATTGGTCTGGGATTAAGTTGTGAAATTGTAACACCAATGGATATGCTTTTTGTGACATCCATATCCACCCTCTTCATAATCGCTGCCTTAGTACCCAGGCACTAAGTTATTTATTTAATTATTAATAGAGTTTTGAGAGTCTCAAATATACCTTCTTTAGTGGAACGTTCTAGTCTCTGCCCAGATTTGACTTGTTAGTTTTTTCTTCTTAATTGGATTTTTTTATTTCATAAAATATAATATATTTTCTATAGATATGTATATTTATATATTAAATATAATTTGAAAGTCTGAAAAAATATATATTATTTGAATATTATCTTAATATATTTCATTTTTATTATGTTTCAATTATATGTTGTAATTTAAGGTAGAGGTTAGCTCAGTACAACTATATTTTATATACGAATCAAACGTGAACAACGATTTATATAGTAAAACAAATAATCAAATGTAAATTATATCAAAAAGAAAACGTGATGAATCAAATGGTATTATTTAGAATTTATGCGTTAATATAAGAAAATGTAATAGGAAGATTTATAAAAAAATATTAAGAGTGTCACTAGTGGAGGGGGGGGGGGTACAGAGGTGCTCAAGCCCCTTTGAAAAAATAATATATAAAAATTTTTGAATTACTTTTTGGAACTTACTGAGATTGTAAAACACTATTTTTCTTAATAAAGACTATTTGATATAAATAAAATAAATTAACATGAGACCGCTTTAATAAATAATTGAAAAACGAAAAAAAAACATTAATACTATATAATTGAAAAAACTATAATAATAGATTCTTTTAGTAAATCAATATTAGTACAGTGAGAAGAGTAAATAACATCATTTGAAGGGGGGGGGGGTGAGGATGGAATCTTTTTTAAACTATTATACAGAGAAATTCCTGTATCTGAGTGAAATATATCTGATGACCTCCATGATATCTTGCTTTTAAATAAGTTACTACACATTTCTTGAAATTTTAGAATCAATAAATATGTAATTTATCTTATAATATGGAAGGATCAAATATTTAATTTAATATTCCTATTATATATATGAATTTTCTTAGTATTAAAAGGTAATTAAAATTTATATTATATTAAAAAATTAAATATGTAATTAATATGCAAAAAAAATTTATATAAACATATTATCTTAATATTTTTTCAGTAGATATTTTAAAAATTAATATTTTTGTTAATTTGTTATATTTAATATTTCTTTTAATTTATTTCCTTTCATCTATTCATACTTTCATTTCCTCCTTCCTTCATATATTCCTAGTTTTACTAGTTTTAAAATATCCAATTTCAACCACGTAAATATAAATAATTTTTATATGATGACAATTCATTTATCTAACTGATCAAATAAGATGTTAAACGAGGCATTTGTCTGATAATATATATATAATTTTAGATGCCTTTTAAATTTTTTATATATTTTATTGCAGAAAACAGGATAATGGGTTTAATTTTCTTACTTGGATATTATCAAGGTATAAAAATTTTACATGATGACTATCATTTATCTGATCAAATAAGATTTGAAACGAGGCATTTGTCTGATATATTTTAGAAAATGCATCTTAATATTTTTTGTTTCTAGATTCAAAGAAAACGAAAAAAAAGATCCTTCACATCAAATTCAAGCATGTAATATAAGAAATAAAACAATGGATTACATACATATCTGATGAAATAATTATATATCGGTAAATTTCTTTAATTAACTATAAATTAAATTCATACACACAAATTTGATTAAATATGTTGGCCATTGATGACAAATCTATTCATTTGATAAAATTATATTATCTGAGAATATTATTTATAGCCTTATGTTATAATTTTTTTTTATCTATAGATCAGAAAGCTGATGTGCAGCTCCTATTCTGTACTTAATAAAATCAAATATATGAAAAAATAAATGCTTGTCTGAAGATTTATTTGAACATGTAGTATTTTATTTAAATAATTTTAAATCCCAAAATAATTAATTTTTTAGAATTGTCAATCAAAACACTTAAGGATATTATTGAATATATTATGATGAATTTTTGGATTAGGTATGAATTTAATTAAATGATGAATATTTATGACGAGTCTGATATAATGAAGAATAGGCTACCACTGAAATATTTTTAATATTCTTTATAATGAATTTATTTTATAGAATACCTATGGCAATATAGTTTGTGATGTCTAACATAGAAATCAGCTCAACATGAAGATTATTACCAATTTTATTTTATATATATATTATATTTAATAAATAATTTGAAGATTTTGAATCTAATCCTATGTTATTTTTATGGTCAATAAAATTCAAGTTCCAATTTTTAGCATTTGAAAGATTATAGAGATTTTAAATTGTTAAATAATCTTTATTTTTTAATCTTACATTATTGAGGAAAATTTATTTGTACTTTACAAAATATATTCACTTTTTATAATACATTTATAGACATCTTCTTAAGTTGCATTTGTTATTTAATTTTTCTTTCATCAGGTTGTACTAGTGAAAATATTTATTACCCCAAACTTATATATGGGATTCTAAATTCCTAATGTTTACTTGAGATGATTTTCATTTTTGATGGTATTGTTAATTAAATTAGACTGCTTTAACAGCATCACTATTGCATCCTCACAAATTTAATATGCCAGTTATATTGTTTGATTTTGATGGAATTTTTTATTATATAAATAAATTATTTTTTATTAAAACTGGATGAATTAATTTTCTCACAAGATTGACTGTTAATGTATTCTAAAAGTAGATTTTATCTATAAACTATTGATTGAAGTTTGAAAAAAATGATTGTTTTAAAATATCTAAAATTGTAAGTAGTAAATTTTTTCATTATAAATATAAAAAAGTCCTCATTGTACACATCACATTCTTCATTATCTGGATCAGAGATTCAATGAATTATGATATTACGTAAAAGTAGTAATGCATAAAAGTACTGTTTTTAACAATTTTCCCCAAAATTATAAATAGTTGATAAAACTGGTTTGGGCAACCTTAGTAAGAAATTTACACTGTATTGAGCCCAATGACATAATACCTAGACTGAGGATTCATTCATTAAAAGTGTACATCATTGCAAATCAGATAAGGACGCCATTTTGGTTACACTAATCATTAAAACTTAAACGAGAGCCTAATTTATTCCTATATCTGATGCAAACTTTATTAAAGAATTACTGGATCATCGAGATAATAAGGAAGCAAGTTATCAATTTAATGGTAGTTTTTAACATGAGAATAATCACTATATGTTACCAAAGGCGGGTCCAGCTAATTTGCTTTTAACGACGCTAAACCCTGAATTCATAGTGAGAGCGATCGCGATTTCGCAGCGACTGATCAGCTGGATCGATCGTAGCGATTTACATTCATAGTGCTAAGCGATTATATTAATTCACAAAATGAGAGCCGCCATATTATTTCTCTTATACAAAATAATATTGAAGAGGAGGAGAACAATCTTAATATTAATAAAAGAAAAGAGGGCGAATTTTACATTCTCTTTCCTAAATTCTTAAAAAATAAGGTTAAATTTTTCAATTATATGAGGATAACCAAAGTAATTTTATCTATAAATCATTTTAATTTAGGAAACCTTTTATTACATACTTGAGCATGTAAAACCAATATTGCTTACAACATCCACAAATTTTATAAAATATCCAATAAGTGTTGAAGAAAAGCTAATGGTTTGTTTAAGGTAAAAATAAAGCAATTTATTATTTATATATATTTTTTATTTAGATATTTAGCTACAGGCTGTAGATATCCTACCATAGCTTATTCCTTCAAAATGGGAATATCTACAATCCAAAAAATTGTTAGGACCACTTGCAAAGCTATATGGCAAACTTTGGTGACCCAACATATGATTACAGCTAACAGAAAATATATTACAAACATGTACTTTACTCCATAACATTATAATTGATAAGGAAAAATATATTCCTATCAACCTTAAAAAAAATTATCCCCTTTAATTCACTTATTTAATCAACAATCTATTAAATCAGCAACAAATATTGCAAAGTTTAATAGAAATTTATTATGTTTATATTTATATAAAAATCCCATATTATAGATATTTATAAATATAATCAAATCTTATTTTGTATTTTATATAAATATCTTGTTTTGTATTTTATATATATTATAATAAAAATAAATGTTTAATTATTATCCTTCCATTAAAGAAATTTTTTATAAATATAATATTGCAATACCTTCATCAGCTCCAATTGAAAGGTTATATAGTTTTGGCACAATGTTAAGTATGCCAAAATGGCAAAGGTCTAATTATAAATATTTTAAAAATTTGATTATCTTATAAAATAATGAATTTATTTTAAATACTCTTTTGCAAATTAATATTTCAACTCCAATACTAGTCTCCCTTCCCTATCTATGCTAAGAATGGACTAATATTAAAATGCCTGATTATTATAATCAACTCATCATTAAATATTTTATTAATTCTTGCAAATATTCATTCTTATTATGGTAATGTTATGTTCTTCACAAATAAATAATAAAAACTGTATTTTACAAACTATTCTAACTTAATTGTTAATGATAATTTAAAAGTATCTTATATTTAAGATACTCTAAATAGGCAAAAGATACAAGTATCTTTTATCTTGTATCTTTTTGATATTTTGAAAAAGATACTAGTATCTGTAAGATTCATTTTTTCACAAAGAATCTGTATCTAGATTCTTTTTCCAGAGGACCTGCCCAACTCTGTTTAATAGTATATAATTTTATTTCAAATAATATGAATGTATACAAAATATCTATTTAAAATAATATATATACACAAATAAAAATATATACAAAATAATTTTATTTAATTAAAGTTGCGTATGAGATCATACATTTGATCAGAAAGATCTTTCTTCTCTTGAATACTGCATCTGTCTAATTTCTCTCTCATTACATGACATATCGCATATTCATTATATCTATTTTTAGTCATCTCTAATTCCAATTTCATTTTTTCATGTTCTAATTTTAGTAAAGTTTTTATTTCATCTATTTTAAAATTTTCTATAAAGTAAATAATAAATATAAATTACCTATATCATTATTCCTTCTCTTAGGATATTTACAAGATGAAATAATAGAGTCAGAAAAAATATATTCTTAAATATAAATAATGTATATTTTTAAAATTTATAATTAGCACACTCATTACTAAGCTGTGATGGAGGTCCTTTAGGAATAATAGTATCTATTATAAGATCACTATCAATACAATCAACTAAATAAAAAATATATTACCAATTCAAATGTTATATTTTACATTCATTTGTCTCCCCATAATTTCATTAAAGATATTATTTACATCTTTTGGAATAGATCCTTCCCTCATATCTAAAGAGGATAACTGTAACCTTGGTGTTACAGTTTCTACCAGGAATAGCATATCCTGATAGTATGGCCATGAAATATGATGGTCTGCCTGTGACCCACTCTTAAGTTTGGTCATTTTTAGTCTTTCTCTCATGAAACAATCTTTTAGATTTTTCCAAAGAGCTTTAAGAGATGAATCTAAAAAGGTTTATAAATATAATATATATGCAAAATTATTACTGGGCATATTATACTGGTGAACTAATAATTCCATATTATTCTTGTATATAATATTTTTATATAAATTATTATGTTTATTATACAAACATTCATATTCTTTAACTGATACTATAAAAGCTATCTATTTTCTAAAAAAAATTTTTAAATTTAAATCATAATTTTAACTTGATGATTCTTTGATTTTACATCATAAAAAAATGTAACCATTGAATTCATTTCAAATAATTTAAAAATAGCGCTAAATCTTAAATTTTAAGATAAATTCACCAAAATGTGTATTTAACGAAGCAATATTTCAAAATCTTCGCGATAAACACAAAATGATTTGTGTTTTGAAAAAATCGCGGCGATTTGCTATCGCGTATCAAATCGCGCGATCGGTAACTATGAATGCGATATCATATTTACTGTATTTTGTATTAATCGCGTCTAAATCGCAATCGCAATCGCGCCACTATGAATTCAGGGTAAAAATGCATTTTAATGAATGAATCGTCAGTCTAGGTATTATATATGTCATTGATTGAGCCTGACAAAAAATTTGGGAGTTTGGGCTGCACCAAAATAAATTAGTGGGGTCTGAGAATTTTGCTATTTGTCTGCATCCTTTATCACTCAGCATGATTAAGTTATTCTACGAATACTAAATAAATATGCACTGATTTGGTAATAAAGCACAACTGGAATTTTTTAAAATATGTAAAATATCAAAGTAGACATGGTCTACATTGTATATATATTCAAGGCATACAGCAATTAATTTAGCTATTAGCCGTTCTCTTACCAGGGCCTGAATACCAAACATCCTGGAGCCTACAAATTTATGATTAGATGATGGCTTAACTTCCGTGCCTTGGTCTTTAAGGAAATCCTTACTTTGGGACTTCACATGCGTATCTTCTTTCCCAAAAAATTTAAATTCTAATCCGGTTGATATAGCCGAGAAACAAAAAAAAATGAAATATTCCAAATTCACAAATTATATTTTTACACCGATCGTTATCTCTTCCCTTAGACTCATGCCAAGCGGAACTTTAAAATTCTTAAAAAATATAGGCGATAAGACAAGAGCCCTTACCAGGGGCGGACTGGCGACACTACTGCCTCCTGGGCATTTTTTATAGCGGCCTTATTTATATGGGGCTTCGCCCCCATACTCCCATTTTAGCGGGCCTTCGGCCCGCTTTTGCCTGGTCTTCGACCGGGTTCCCTTAAATGGCTTCTTTGATTTACATAATTTTTATTACTTCTTATTTTTTGAAAATAAGTTCAAACGTTTTACATTTTTAGTAAAAAAAAAGATTAGTAATATACGATAATCATATATTTATTTTAAAAAAATGCACATCTAAAATCATATTCATTACCTATATAAAATAATATTAATCGAAAATATATATTTTATATGAGTTACATCGATATTGCACTATAAAATCAAATTATACATCACAAATATAAAAAAAATGCATACTCAATATATTAAATCAATTAATTATAAATATAAATTATTGCAGTTATACAATATTACAGAGAATAAAATTGCTGCACTTTTATAAAATCAGGCACCGATAATATTGATAATATTAATAAGATTCTAATAAAAGAATTAAGAAAATATATAATTTTTACGTTAATAAATCTTTCATTAACTTTGAACCTTTGCGCAAATATACAGGAATATC